GAAGAGCATACGAAAGCTTTTCTCTCTTTTTCTCTTGCGTATAGGTCACTGTTGCTGCTGCTGCTGCTGCTGCTGCTGCTGCTGTTGCTCCGCGATGAGAGAATGGCATTTCTCAGATGTCAAATGGCTGGCTACTTAACGACAGATCGGACACTCGAGACTTGTTTTATGACTGAGGTGCTTGCATTTTCTTTCGTTTCATATCGCAGCAGAAGCGTCGGCGGCGGCAATGCGTGCACGACAAAAGAGCTGCGACAGAGAGAAAGCTCGAGATTTCATACATTCCTGGATACATATAAAATTCCCTTGAAATTGGGTTAATTCTCAAAAGACATCGTTTGATTTTATTTATTTTTTTCCTTCTTCTTCTTCTTCTTCTGCTTCTATCCACCGAACACAATGGAATCTTTCATTCGTATGAAAATGCGAAACGGATAAAGCGTATACGTACTTGAAAAACTTTATAATTTCGCCGTATAAAGGCAAAAAAAAGAGAGAATTATCATAAAAAATGTACATTTTAACATACTCGTTATCAATTTTTTTTCTCTTTAATTCACTTTGAGTACACGTCTATATACGGAGAAAGAGAGCCCCGAGCTCTCGAGCTTTCTCGCGATATAATACGTACAAAGTTAGAAAAGTTAGGCCAATTGAATTGGCAGTCTGCCCTCGCGAGAGGAGACAGAGAGACGAGAGCGAAGAGGCTAGAGAGAGAGAGAGAGAGAGATAGAAAGAAAAGAGAGACAATTTCTCCCAGAGCAAGTTATATATCGACAGAAAATCATTTAAAAAGAAACTTCTATAGATCCGCGCGCATATACTTTAATTGCGCCCAGAGATGGAGCTTTTAATTTCCGATGCAGAATAATGGGTATAGTAGTATAGCGAACAAAAAAAAAAAAAAGAACGAGGAAGGAGTGAAAGAAAATCAATTAACTGAAATATTTTCATTCCCTTTTGTTTAGACTTTTTTTCCATTCTTTTTTTATTCCTTTTTTTTCTCGAAACATAATACCCCTCGTCGTCGTTGAAAAAAAAAAATAGTTCTCGATAGGCATCGGGGCTGTGCACAAGCGTGAAAAGTCACGTTCTTTCGTGATCGCGCAAAGGTGAGATTTGAACGTGCGATTTGCGCGTGCTGCACACATAGGTACAGCAGGTTGAAAAAGTAGATACTATACACTGTGTGTGCAGCATGAAACACCCTTTCCCAGTGCCGCGTGCTGCACACATGCCCACACACACACATGTGCAACGATGATATATTTACGTGGCTTACAAACATATGTGTGTGTGTGTGCAATATATACAAAGGCAGCGTCTTCTTGCGCGCTCGTCGACCTTGGTTAAGGCTATTACGGCGCTTTTTACTTTGAACTGTCGGCTTGTGGCTCGTTATACATACGAAGGCAAATTTAATTGTAAAATACACGCGATGAAGCTTTCCTCTCTCTCTCTCTCTTGCTCGCTCGCTCGCTCGTGCTCTCTCTCTCTAACTCATGTTTTTTTCATTTTCGCGCGGGCTAGTTTGAATAATATTTCACGCACCGCAGCAGCGGCAACAGCAGTGGACAAGAGCAGAGCGAAAGCAAAGGCACACACACAAAAAAAAAACAACAAAAAAACAATCTCGAAATCTAAAAATACGGGGTAACATTTCGTAATACAGGCGCTCGTTTGTCCGTTGTTTCCAGAGCATTACTCGTGGTCGTGAAAAGAGCGCGAGAGCTTTTGCGTGCGCGCTCGAGGCAATATGGGTTATATATATTGAGTGGTAATGCTTGTATGCAACGGGCCGTGCGACGTCGTGTACCTATATACGAGGTACTACGACGGGCAAAAGAGCTATAAGTAAAGAGAGAGAGAGAGGGAGTAGGGGGGCCGGCTATATCGCTCGTGTACTAAACTAGCTCATAAAAGTCAAAATTCCGCGGTTTGTTGATCAAAGACGCAGCGCGTCGTCTAAGATTAGGGAGGTGGTACGCGGGTACGTGGTCGAAATTCGCGAATACCCGCGTGTTAAACTATACACGCGTTATACGTACATGCACGCGCCGATCGTTAAAAGCTCGAGAGAGACGAGGGGGAGATTGTGTGTTAGCTCGCGTTAGAGAGAGACAGAAAATAAACGATATAGTACGATGCCAACGAGGTGTGCATAAAGAAAGAGAGAGAGAGAGAGAAAAGAAAAGACGCCCACGCGCACTTTACGATCTGTATCGATACGCCTCGGGCAATGCGTAGGATTCCAGGAAAGATTCCGCGTGTATTAACTGCTGCAGCAGCCACGCGAGAGCAGCGAGGTATTTTTGTCTTATTGGAGCTGCCGCGCACAGCAGCAGCCGTCGTTACACGTTCACGAAAATATAATACGACTCGACGCGCCGATTGTTCTGACGCCTATTTTTCCGTTCCGGGCTCATGCTCCTCCGCGCGCGTGGAATATTTTCGAAAGCGTTATATGTGCCGCTCGTAATTGATTTGTGCAACCGCGCGCCGACAGAAGGCTTGAGGCTGGCGACGAACGAAAGATTGATTTTTGGCGGGTGAGCGCGAGATGCGTTTGGACAAATGTGGGTGTGAGCAATTTTTTTTAAAGTAGATAGTAAAAGATGCAATAATTTAAAAATTTTAAGAAAAAAAAAACAACTCGAGTATATGGCAAAAAATTTCGTCTCGTCCAAACGTGATGGGTTGAAAAGTGCGATACGAAGAAAGAATCTCTCGCGAGTATTTTTCCTTTCCTTTTTTTCTCTCTTCTCTTTTTTTTTTTTTTTTGAACTCGTATACGACTGGCGTAGGCGTGAAAAAAGTGACCCAACGGCTAAAGCTTACAGCTCTATATAGACACACACACGAAATACAGAAAAGCTCGCGGCCAAATTCATTCCTGCTGTACGTGCGCATGCGGTGTGTATGTATGTATGTATTTTTTTTTTCACTTGCGCAAGCCGAAAAGGTGTAGCAGTCGTCCTCTCGAGACTACGGTTGGCTGAATTTTTTCGCTTTTCTCTTTGACTCGAGAGCTTTTTCTCGGAAAAGGGCCGCGCTCCGAGCTGCTACAGGGTTAATAAAAGCTTTTCTTTCTGACCCCCAACACGATGAAGGATTGCTATTTTTTTCGAATGTTTCTCTTTCTTATTCTTTCTTTCATCAATCTGTATACAAATATAATAACCGCTTGATTTTTTTTCTGCGATTTTTCAGGCCCAGATCGACTTGGCATGTGACCGCGGAAAAAGTGAAGTCAGATGTGATCCGCCTTGGAGCTTCTTCCGGAGTGACGTGGATCGTTCTCTCTCATGAAATGCAGTAGCCACGCGTATCAAAGGTAAGCTTCGAATTTGTCTGCAATATTAATACCCTAAAAAAAATGAATAAATAAAATCAACGCGATATCGTTTATCCTCGTCCATTGAGCACACACACACAAACGTACATCCAATAAACGTGTAATCAGCTTAAAGAAGCTTGCGGGGACAAAACGAGACTGAGACAAAAAAAACTGTTTATCTTCTGTAAACAGCTCGCGCGTATCTCTCCGCTGTGCGTCTGCTGCTCTGTGCTCCGGTGCCGAGAAAGAGAGAGAGCTTGCGACCAAAACTTGAAGATAGCGCGCAAGTTTAGCGGAAAGGATTTATCGCTTTTATGAACTTGCGTGTGTATAATAATATATATACGCGTGTACAGCTGCACACGCAGTAACAGCAGCAACAGCAGCAGCAGCGGTGAACACAAACAGAGAGAAACGAGATTATATACTCGAGAATTTCTTACTTATTCTTGCGCTCGCTGCTTCTCCGGTGGTACACGCACACGCACACACGCGCAAACACGCGTTATGTATGTACACGTATTTATGCGATGCGCCCAGCACAGCGCCGGCACACTCCCCTCTCTCTCTCTCTCTCGCGTGCGCTTATCGATCTTAATTTCCCGTAGTCGTTTATCAGCTTTACATCCGATGCTGTGTGCTGCGGGTAACTTTATATAAATATAGCGGTGGTGTAGTGGTAGAGGCGGTGGTAGATATTCCATTCGTTACTGTCGGCGAATTACGGACTATCGGAAGTATCGATGTGTGTGTGTGTGTGTGTGTGTGTGAGTGTGAATATACGTGTACGCAGTATATTTAGTATCTATGCTCACCCCCCAAGTACCGAACAATAAAATGTTTATACATCCGTACGAGGCTATATAAAAATGTTTTAATTGAAACAAGGAAAAAACGAATTTATTCGCACACTCTTAGTACCTTATTCGTTATGGTTTTTTTTTTTTAGATAAAAAAAGGAATGAATTTGATTTGATTTGAGGAGGTGAGCAAAAAAAACAGCCCAAAGCCGAAGGTTAGGTATCACATAATCATCTTTTCAGATATATTTTGAGCCTCGAATCGCGATGAAAATTGTTACCACTCGACGCATGTATCGGGCGTGGATAATTGTTCATCGAGGTCTCAGAAACACGTAAAAATGCGGAAAAAAAATGTTTGATAGTTATTTTACGTAAATAGATATTTGTGTATTTTAAAGGATATAAAATCGCGTTTTCTCTGTAATACGACATTGACGAAATTATTCGGATACCTAAAGGAAAGTACATTAAAATTCGAAAAATTTAATTTTGAATAGTGTAACTTTTGGTGTATGTTAAATTGTTAATGCACCGGGTCTTTTTTTACTCATCGGGTATCAAATTGCCGAAAAAAATGTCAAAAAATGAAAAGTGTTTGGAATCTTTCAAAGAATACCTGTGAATTTTTGCTGCTTTTTTGGGACCATTTAAGGAATTTAGGGAATGGTTAAGATTTTGAAAAATCCAAAAAAAATTTTAAAAAAATTACTTTCAAGACGTGATATTTATTATATAAATGCATGTACAAAAATGCATATACAAAAAGATTGAATTTTTTACAGTTGTCGCAAAACTGGTAACACCTTAACACGTTGACAACATTACGATACTCGAGTCAATGCAAATTGAGTGCGTTCAAATGTCTCGAGAATAATCTCATTTTTTTAATTATCTACCCTTATGTACTGCCTTTATGTGTTTATTGAGGTTACTATTCCAAATGATTTGTGATAAATGTAATACTCATTTCACAATGAGTTTTTTACAATCATGTTTTGCATTGACGTGCCTTTTGAATTTACTCTGAAATCCAAATGATTTGTAACAAATGTCACACTCTAAGGGTTACAATTGCTGCAATCATGTACTGATTTTATGTGTCTATCAAGTGATCCTATTTGTCCAAACGATTCATGACAAATGTCACACTCAAAGGGTTTGCTGCGGTCATGTACTAATTTTATGTGTCTGTTGAGATTACCCTTACATGAAAATGATTTGTGACAAATATCACACTCAATGGGTTTGCTAACATTATGCACTGAATTTATGTGATTTTTCACTTTACTTTTATCTCTAAATGATTTGTGACAAATGTCACACTCAAAGGGTTTGCTACGGTCATGTACTAATTTTATGTGTCTGTTGAGTTTACCCTTAAATGAAAATGATTTCTGACAAACCTCACACTCGAAGGGTTTGCTACGATCGTGTACTGTACTAATATGAGCTTTAAGATCTTCTTTTCGTCCAAATGATTTGTGACAAATGTCACACTTAAAGGGTTTGCTGCGGTCATGTACTAATTTTATGTGTCTGTTGAGATTACCCTTACATGAAAATGATTTGTGACAAATATCACACTCAAAGGGTTTGCTACGATCGTGTACTGTACTAATATGAGCTTTAAGATTTTCTTTTCGTCCAAATGATTTGTGACAAATGTCACACTCAAAGGGTTTGCTGCGATCATGTACTGATTTTATGTGTCTGTTGAGTGTACTCTTAAATGAAAATGATTTGTGACAAATATCACAATCAAAGGGTTTGCTGCGATCATGTACTACTGTATTCACGTAACGTTGGAGGTAAAATTTTTGTGAAATCGAATTGTGGCAAATTTCACATTCAAAGAGTTTGTTTCTATTGTGTAATACATTTATATGCTTATTGAGATCACCCTTGAATGACAATGAGTTGTAACGAACATTGCATTCGAGGGATTTTTTACAAGTATGTACTGTATGTTGATGAATTTCAAGATCATGCTTGCGACTAAATGAATTGTGAAAAACGTTACATTTCAAGCGTTTGTTGTGATTGTGTACCGATCCTAAATGAATTTTGAGATCATTACTGCGGGAAAATGATTCGTTACAAATTTCACATTTATACAGCCCTCTTTGTTCAAGTGTCGTACCCATATGCTTTTTTAGACTTGCTCTTGCTGTATGAGTTTTTCGACATATGGGTAAATCAGATGATTTTTTTTCAACGGTTTTTCCAAAATCTTTCTGTTTTCCATATTCGGCAAGTACTATACAAGAATTCACATTCATTTGACAATTATCTCTATAATTAAACCCTTTTTCAATCAATATTGTTAAACTTTTTTCATTCATGTAATTAGTCGGATTTTCGTTTTCCTTTTTCACACAAGGTTGACTACTTTGATACTCAGATTTGCAGATTTTGGTCGATAGAGATGACCGCTCGAGTTTAACATTTTTGCACTCAAAATCTGTAATTATGTTTTTACCTAACCTCTCCTCTAACGCCTCAGCATCGTTCGCGTTCTTTGCCTGAAACGAAAATTGTTGGCTTATTTCTAAAGGTCGATCAACATAACATTATTCAAGTCATTGAACTCACCGATAATTCATGAAAAGGCAATATCTCAACGCTTTCAGCTTTGCAAGAGTCCATCAAATCGAAAACGTGATTGCCACCGGCATCTTGCCACGTATCGTTAGGCTCTTCCTTCACCCTGAAAAATCACCGCGTTTACAAGGTTATCGTTCAAAAAAGTATCATAGAATTATATAACGCACACGAAAAAACAATACCTAATTAAGTCACTGTTGTTTTTCATCATTTCATCGATCACGCGTATTCACTGTAATTTTTCACGGTGATATAAACTGAGAAAAATATTTTTGAGGTTATACGCCTCGAGTAGCCAAGACCGTACCTCGAGATTTCACCTATAAATTTTTGCGAATATAATTTGTAAATAGCTCGATCGCCGAGAAATTCTGTTTCACACTGCAAGCGTGTGAGCTCTTCGGTCGTGTTTATTAGAAAGATGATCCCGTGCTGTGATCGCTCCGTGGCGAAATTTTCCCCCACTAACGTCAATCGTGTCTGTTTTACGCACTTATGGTGCACTCGTGTCCCTTTGTTCTCTGTATGTAAACATTCTGCTAATAGATTTCGCGAAAAATACTCCAATATTTCGAGTGAATGTGATATGAGCAGTTCTAAAAATTTGCGGCTTTGTCGTTGAAAACATGAGAAAATGCGGAAACTATATACACATTTTGGATAGTTATACGGTCCACAGTTTTCTATGTTTCATTTTTTTTGTCAAGTTGATAATGGTCGATTTGAACATGATGACATTTTTGGATTAATAGTTAATAAACATTCACCGAAAATAACATTTTTTTTTCGAATTCCAGTGGAATTTTTTATGGGAGTTCAATTTTCCAAAGCCAAAAAGAGAGTCCGTGAATATTTTCGAATGATTTCGACGATGTCATGTTAACGAGAAAACGCGATTTTTCGTCCTTTGAAACACAAAAAATATCTTTATGTACAAAATACCTAACGAAATTGTTATCGTTCTCGCATTTTTTACATGTGTCTGGGATCTCGATTATCAACGCCCATTATACGCGTCAAGTGACCAAAATATCAATTGCGATTTTAGCCACGAATAATACGAATTTTTTGTAGAATTGCTCATGTAAACGTAGAGTTGATTTGATAATTTTCAGTGCAGCCATACATTTTTCCGAATACATAATTTTCACACAATTTCCTGTAAAGAAATCGAGGAGTTCTTCCTCCGCAAAAGCCGTTACGCAATTTGAAGGTGGTCCCTTATACGCTTATATCTTTGTCTCTCTCGCGCTCGCTCACTCATGCGGCGTGCGTGTCCATGCCAGTTGCTCGGCCAAACAACGCATACACATGGCTCGCACAACTGGCATTTGCCGAGAAGTCAGTTTACGTTACGACGCCGCAGTGCAAACAACAAAGGAAGATCGCCTTGACTGCGGCGAGTGATTTTCGTGAAAAGTGGACATATTATAGACGTGTTTAACTGTGAGCGTATTGAAAGATGGCCCAAAACGACCGAAGATGTTTGAAAAAATTGCAAACCATGTACCAAGACGTCGATTGGAAAATCAATCAAGAGAGAAAAACATTTCTACTTCAATTTTGCGAGTTGATAAGTGTTTGGACGGGCCAACTTCCTAACCTACGAGATATTTTTCGGCCCAAACAAATTGATTGGGTTCTAAGAGAGTATGTGAACAGCTGCGGTAGTCAATGCAGACAATTTCCACTCATCGAATTTGTGGTTAGGACCGGCTACAAAGATATGCCCCGCGTTGATAAAAAAATCGGCAAACCGTCGTCGCGTCGCACCACAGCGGTGCATCAAGCGATCAGATATTACACCATTCGCGATTGGGATTCTGCGGTCCGTTACCTTTTTGAAATATACGACACGTTCGACGTTAATTACATCGATGAGTTCGATCGCACGCATCTCCTCGCGGCCTGCCTGTTCGACTGTGAAGACGTCGTTGAGAAATTTTTAGAGCTCGGAGAGGATCCCAATTACATCTGGCAACAAACGCATAAATCGCTGCTGTTTTTGGCCGTGAGATTGAACCACAAGAGGGTGGCCGAGTTGTTGCTGAGATATGGTGCTGATCCGAATTGCACCGACAAGTATGGATCCACACCTTTACACTGCATTTGTTGGAAAAAACACGATAATGACTTGGCGGAGATGTTATTTAAGATCTGCGAAGAAAAAAATAATTTAGTGCAGGTAGATGTCTTGGACAACTGGGGTCACATACCGCTGCATGTAGTTGTTGGGCAGTATGTAACGTTCGCTTTATGTGAAGACAACGGGCAGTTTAAAAAAATGTTCCAATTACTGTTGAGAAAAGGCGCTGATCCAAATTTATTCAATCCAGAAGGGCTCACTATTCTGCACGTTATAACCAAAACAAGCTACGATACTGACTTAGCGGAGGTGTTATTCAAGATTTGCGGCGAGAAACATCAGGTGGTCCAGGTCGACGCTCGAGACAAGATGGGCCGGACACCGCTGCAATGCGCCGTGGAGAATGTCTTGCCGAATACTGTCGACGTTCTGTTAAATAAAGGTGCCGATCTGTCGAGCGTCACTTTTCCCCCCGATGGTTATTTCAGCGTAAAGGAAGAGACTTATAACATTCATTCTTATAATGGCGAATTGAGAAAAGCATCTGGAATTCTGATTATCGTTGGACGTTTTGAGAAAAGAGGATATGAATTGAGCCGTACCGACGCCCTGAGGCTCATGAAATCTTTAACCGAGCACGTTGTGTTCGAGGTATCGTCGAATTCCGGAAAATGTTGGTACGACGACGAGAAGTTTGCGACAAAAGGGAAAGAAATCATGATACTTCCAGGCCTGTCGCTCCATGACTTTGTTCGGTTGAGACTCGAAAAAGCGACGAAACTTCTTGTGAACACGGACTACTTGGACATAATGAGCTCGTACAAATTTTATGAACTGCCCGGTGGATCGAGCGAGGCTTGTTTTTTGCATCTTTACGAGGTAATATGTAGAGGATTTTTCCGTCGATGGGCCCTGGATTCCTTATTGGAGCTGACGCGCTATCGACTGCCAATTCTCTGCTGCGAGATGATCAACGATCAGCTGATTAACCAAGAATTGTTTCGTGTTTGCTCGGCGGCTGCAGGCCAAAGTTTATAATTGTTCAAAACATATTTGTTGTATTTTTCAGTGTCTAATGTTATTTAATAATTGCAACATTTTCATATCCTTCAAATGAATAAACATCAATAAATAAAAAAAAGTGTGAGCGAGTGTTTCAATGCTGCTACCTCTACTGAAATATCGTTCATACGTCGATAGAGGGGTCATTCCGCCTTCTCTTCTTCTCTCTTCTCGAGGTCGAGTTCGTATACCTCTTTGTAGTCTATATCCCGGTCGACTTTGCGCAAACTTCGATAGTTCGACATTTTCTATTTGTTTCTCCAAGACGCGCTCGTGTAAATCCGAAAAATCCGCACAGCACTCGCGCGAGCGCACGGTGCGTATACGGTGTATGTGTGTGTGTGTGCGCTCGGCTTTTCCATCGACTTTTCTTCGAGTCTCGAGGTAAATATTGTAGCTCCAACGCGCTTCGCTCTACATCTTTTCCAAAGAGAGCACGAGAGAGAGAAATTTTCCCTTCGTCGCCTCTCTCTTTCGCCGTACGTGTATGGCAAACAATGATCTAGAAAACGTCAACGCTCGTATAACAACGATTCATTTATCGCGTGGCTCGGAGCCTGGCTAAATATAGAGAAAGTTAATTTAAAAGTCCATTTCAACTGTCCAGCTCCGCTGTGACGTACCACACGACGCGTAAGCGTGTAAAATTGTGTGCAAGTACGTGTGTGTGTGTGTGTGTGTGTGTGTGTGTGTGTGTGTGTGTGTGTGTGTGTGTGTGTGCATCTCGCCGATACAATGGCGCGCAAAAAGCGATCAATTTGCGCAAGGAGCTCCGCGAGCTTTTGCGCGCGCGAAAGCTCGAGAGTACAATATGTATATTACGTACCGTATAGAAAAGCTCGCGCTCGCAAGCTCGTTAATTATAATGTGCACTACTGCTAACCAGCGTGTCGTCGACGTCGTCGTCGAGAGCATTTCTCTCCTCTTCCTCCTCCTCCTCCTCCTCGTCGTGTAGTATAGCAAATTCGTTATCGAGCTCTTACGCGCGCGTCTCTCTCTCGCTTCCGTACGGTGCACAGTTTATGTATACGTTGCAGCTATTATTATTCCTTCCTCGGTATATATATTGGATAAATTTCCATCTTTTCGTTGTATACGAATCTAGGTAAAAATCGCCGCCTATTGTATATACTTTACTTGGTGTATAATACGGCTAATGGCAGTTGCGCCTCCACGCGATGTTCATGTATGTCTGTGTGTGTGTGCCGAATAATAGAAATTCGATACGCGTGTATTGAATTGTATTATAAAAGCTGAAGGGGGTCGTCGACGATACATACATACACACACAATACACAATCCCGTGTACGGCACGCGCGCGCGGATATAATGTAATCGACGCGATACGCGATCCGAACGAGACCAAAAGCGACTCGGAGCTTTCGCAAAATTCAACCCATCCTGTATATATGTACACACACACAATATCCCTCTGTCGCTATAAAGGCGGACTCTCTGTGTATATAATACGTGTTTCGTAATCGGTGGAATTAATAATGTATCATAACGGGGGCCAAACGACGCTCTCTCTCTCTCTCTCTCTCTCTGCTCTCTAGCGCGGGGGTCAGTCCGAAAGCTCGATTCGTGCCTCCGCGCGTGTATCGAGATAAATGCACCTTTTGCCGCGCGTTACAGTACACGTATTAAGCGCGGCACACCGCGCAGCGCTAAAAGCTTTCTCGATGCTCCTCGTTTGCGAGCGTGAGAGCGCGCAATCTTTAAATCACCTTAATACATGTATAATCCATCTATTACCCGTCGGAAAGTCGATCGTATAGTCGCATCGGGGCGTCTATGTATGGATACTCATGCTACACTTCTCGGATACTCCTCGCAAAAGCTAATCCCATATCCCTCTAAGCGTTGATCGTGTGCCACGCGCGCCTAACTGTGTATAGGTGCAGCAGCAGCAGCAGCAGCAGCAGCAGCAGTTGCACGAGTATATATACACACGTACATGTACACGAGCGTATGCCGCTGCTGCTGCTTGCGGCGGCCGTTATGAGGAGGCACTCGAAGCTAACACCCGCGATCAACTATGTTCTAGTTCGTGGGAGTGTGTGTGAGTGTGAGTGCATAGGTGTGTACGCGCTATATACACGGGACAAGGCAGATAAGGCAAGCTAGAGAGAGAGAGAGAGACAATGACGACGTTGCCGAGGAGGTTGTATGTAATATACTGATGCGTCTGCTGCTGCTCCTGCTGCTGCTA